ATTTGGGAAGAAAATTGGGGAAATTTAGGGGGAATTTGGGGGAAAAAATTTGGGGAATTTGGGGAAAAAATTTGGGGAATTTAGAAGGATAATGGGAAAAATCTGGGGGAAAATCGGGGGAATTGGGAAAAAATTGGGAAATTTTGGGGGAAAATTGGGAAAAAAATGGGAAATTTTGGGGGAGAATTTGGGTAAAATTTGGGAATTTTTTTGGGATAATTTGGGGAAAAAATTGGGGAAAAATTTCAGGAAATTTGGGTAAAATTGGGGAAAAAATGGGAAATTGAAGGGGAATTTTTTGGGATTATTTGGGTAAAATTTGGGAAGAAAATTGGGGAAATTTAGGGGGAATTTGGGGAAAAAATTTGGGGAATTTAGAAGGATAATGGGAAAAATCTGGGGGAAAATTGGGGGAATTGGGAAAAAATTGGGAAATTTTGGGGGAAAATTTGGGTAAAATTCCGGAAAATTGGGAAAAAAAATTCGGGAAAAATTGGGGGAAAAATGGAAAAAATCGGGGGGAAAATGGGGAAAAAATCTGAATTTTCGGGGGATAATTCGAGTGGAAATTTGGGAAAAATTTGGGTAAAAATTGGGAATGATTTGGAAAAATTTGGGAAAAATCTGGGTAAAAAAAAAAAATCTGGGGAAAATTGGGAAAAAAAACTTGGGGAAAAATTTTGGAATTTTGGAGGGATTTAGGGGAAAATTGGGAGGTTTTGGGGGAAAATTTGGGGAAAATTTGGGTAAAAATTGGGAATGATTTGGAAAAATTTGGGAAAAATCTGGGTAAAAAAAAAAAATCTGGGGAAAATTGGGAAAAAAAACTTGGGGAAAAATTTTGGAATTTTGGAGGGATTTAGGGGAAAATTGGGAGGTTTTGGGGGAAAATTTGGGGAAAATTTGGGTAAAAATTGGGAATGATTTGGAAAAATTTGGGAAAAATCTGGGTAAAAAAAAAAAATCTGGGGAAAATTGGGAAAAAAAACTTGGGGAAAAATTTTGGAATTTTGGAGGGATTTAGGGGAAAATTGGGAGGTTTTGGGGGAAAATTTGGGGAAAATTTGGGTAAAAATTGGGAATGATTTGGAAAAATTTGGGAAAAATCTGGGTAAAAAAAAAAAATCTGGGGAAAATTGGGAAAAAAAACTTGGGGAAAAATTTTGGAATTTTGGAGGGATTTAGGGGAAAATTGGGAGGTTTTGGGGGAAAATTTGGGGAAAATTTGGGTAAAAATTGGGAATGATTTGGAAAAATTTGGGAAAAATCTGGGTAAAAAAAAAAAATCTGGGGAAAATTGGGAAAAAAAACTTGGGGAAAAATTTTGGAATTTTGGAGGGATTTAGGGGAAAATTGGGAGGTTTTGGGGGAAAATTTGGGGAAAATTTGGGTAAAAATTGGGAATGATTTGGAAAAATTTGGGAAAAATCTGGGTAAAAAAAAAAAATCTGGGGAAAATTGGGAAAAAAAACTTGGGGAAAAATTTTGGAATTTTGGAGGGATTTAGGGGAAAATTGGGAGGTTTTGGGGGAAAATTTGGGGAAAATTTGGGTAAAAATTGGGAATGATTTGGAAAAATTTGGGAAAAATCTGGGTAAAAAAAAAAAATCTGGGGAAAATTGGGAAAAAAAACTTGGGGAAAAATTTTGGAATTTTGGAGGGATTTAGGGGAAAATTGGGAGGTTTTGGGGGAAAATTTGGGGAAAATTTGGGTAAAAATTGGGAATGATTTGGAAAAATTTGGGAAAAATCTGGGTAAAAAAAAAAAATCTGGGGAAAATTGGGAAAAAAAACTTGGGGAAAAATTTTGGAATTTTGGAGGGATTTAGGGGAAAATTGGGAGGTTTTGGGGGAAAATTTGGGGAAAATTTGGGTAAAAATTGGGAATGATTTGGAAAAATTTGGGAAAAATCTGGGTAAAAAAAAAAAATCTGGGGAAAATTGGGAAAAAAAACTTGGGGAAAAATTTTGGAATTTTGGAGGGATTTAGGGGAAAATTGGGAGGTTTTGGGGGAAAATTTGGGGAAAATTTGGGTAAAAATTGGGAATGATTTGGAAAAATTTGGGAAAAATCTGGGTAAAAAAAAAAAATCTGGGGAAAATTGGGAAAAAAAACTTGGGGAAAAATTTTGGAATTTTGGAGGGATTTAGGGGAAAATTGGGAGGTTTTGGGGGAAAATTTGGGGAAAATTTGGGTAAAAATTGGGAATGATTTGGAAAAATTTGGGAAAAATCTGGGTAAAAAAAAAAAATCTGGGGAAAATTGGGAAAAAAAACTTGGGGAAAAATTTTGGAATTTTGGAGGGATTTAGGGGAAAATTGGGAGGTTTTGGGGGAAAATTTGGGGAAAATTTGGGTAAAAATTGGGAATGATTTGGAAAAATTTGGGAAAAATCTGGGTAAAAAAAAAAAATCTGGGGAAAATTGGGAAAAAAAACTTGGGGAAAAATTTTGGAATTTTGGAGGGATTTAGGGGAAAATTGGGAGGTTTTGGGGGAAAATTTGGGGAAAATTTGGGTAAAAATTGGGAATGATTTGGAAAAATTTGGGAAAAATCTGGGTAAAAAAAAAAAATCTGGGGAAAATTGGGAAAAAAAACTTGGGGAAAAATTTTGGAATTTTGGAGGGATTTAGGGGAAAATTGGGAGGTTTTGGGGGAAAATTTGGGGAAAATTTGGGTAAAAATTGGGAATGATTTGGAAAAATTTGGGAAAAATCTGGGTAAAAAAAAAAAATCTGGGGAAAATTGGGAAAAAAAACTTGGGGAAAAATTTTGGAATTTTGGAGGGATTTAGGGGAAAATTGGGAGGTTTTGGGGGAAAATTTGGGGAAAATTTGGGTAAAAATTGGGAATGATTTGGAAAAATTTGGGAAAAATCTGGGTAAAAAAAAAAAATCTGGGGAAAATTGGGAAAAAAAACTTGGGGAAAAATTTTGGAATTTTGGAGGGATTTAGGGGAAAATTGGGAGGTTTTGGGGGAAAATTTGGGGAAAATTTGGGTAAAAATTGGGAATGATTTGGAAAAATTTGGGAAAAATCTGGGTAAAAAAAAAAAATCTGGGGAAAATTGGGAAAAAAAACTTGGGGAAAAATTTTGGAATTTTGGAGGGATTTAGGGGAAAATTGGGAGGTTTTGGGGGAAAATTTGGGGAAAATTTGGGTAAAAATTGGGAATGATTTGGAAAAATTTGGGAAAAATCTGGGTAAAAAAAAAAAATCTGGGGAAAATTGGGAAAAAAAACTTGGGGAAAAATTTTGGAATTTTGGAGGGATTTAGGGGAAAATTGGGAGGTTTTGGGGGAAAATTTGGGGAAAATTTGGGTAAAAATTGGGAATGATTTGGAAAAATTTGGGAAAAATCTGGGTAAAAAAAAAAAATCTGGGGAAAATTGGGAAAAAAAACTTGGGGAAAAATTTTGGAATTTTGGAGGGATTTAGGGGAAAATTGGGAGGTTTTGGGGGAAAATTTGGGGAAAATTTGGGTAAAAATTGGGAATGATTTGGAAAAATTTGGGAAAAATCTGGGTAAAAAAAAAAAATCTGGGGAAAATTGGGAAAAAAAACTTGGGGAAAAATTTTGGAATTTTGGAGGGATTTAGGGGAAAATTGGGAGGTTTTGGGGGAAAATTTGGGGAAAATTTGGGTAAAAATTGGGAATGATTTGGAAAAATTTGGGAAAAATCTGGGTAAAAAAAAAAAATCTGGGGAAAATTGGGAAAAAAAACTTGGGGAAAAATTTTGGAATTTTGGAGGGATTTAGGGGAAAATTGGGAGGTTTTGGGGGAAAATTTGGGGAAAATTTGGGTAAAAATTGGGAATGATTTGGAAAAATTTGGGAAAAATCTGGGTAAAAAAAAAAAATCTGGGGAAAATTGGGAAAAAAAACTTGGGGAAAAATTTTGGAATTTTGGAGGGATTTAGGGGAAAATTGGGAGGTTTTGGGGGAAAATTTGGGGAAAATTTGGGTAAAAATTGGGAATGATTTGGAAAAATTTGGGAAAAATCTGGGTAAAAAAAAAAAATCTGGGGAAAATTGGGAAAAAAAACTTGGGGAAAAATTTTGGAATTTTGGAGGGATTTAGGGGAAAATTGGGAGGTTTTGGGGGAAAATTTGGGGAAAATTTGGGTAAAAAT